TGGAGGGGTGGGATACAATGAAGGGAAATATAGTTAGTTTTCCACAGCATGATTACCCTGAAAATGTTTTGCATGACTTCACAAGCGTAACCTGTATTAAGTTGCTTGCCTTCTTAGTGAGGATGGGTGGGGAGGGAGGAAGGGAGAAAATTTGGAACCCAAAGTTTTAAAAACAAATGTTAAAAAATTGTTTTCCCATGCAACTGGGAAATAGGATATATAGGCGATGGGGTATAGAAATCTATCCTGCCCTAAAGGAAAATAGAAGAGGAAGGGGATAAGAGAAGGAAGGGGAGATAGAAGGGAGGGTAGATTAGAGCAAGGGGTATTCAGAATGCATGCCATCTTGGGGTTGGGGGAGGGATGAGATGGGGAGAAAATTTGGAACTCAAAATCTTGTGGAAGTGAATGTTGAAAACTAAAAATAAATAAATTAATAAATCTTATATTAAAAAAAAACCTTTCCCACCCTAAAAAAAATAAAATTAAAAAAATTAAAAAGTACAACTAAAAAAAATGAGAAAAGGGACAGTTTCATAGAAACCTATGAGGAGTTGCGACCACTGAAGGGGTCACAATTGGAAAAAATTTAAGAAACCCTGATTTAGGGCACTGGTGATGATATATGTGCTTCTGTCTTTTGACAGACAGATGATGGACTTGATCCAGAATAAGGCATGTATTTTAGACATGGCCAATATGAGAGTTTCTTTTGCTTGACTGTGTATATTTATTACAAGGGTTTTGTTTTTCTTTTGTTTTTTTTTTTCATATGGGGAAAGTGGAATGTAGAAGAGAAAGCAAACAAATACTTAAAACTTTTTTTTAAAAGAAAGCTATTTTAAAAAATTAAAGTGAAGTAGAACAATTTTTACATTGACTACAATTTTGTAAAGAAAAAGAACTTTGAAAGAGTTAAGAATTATGATCATTGCATTGATTAGAGTACTCCTGAGTACTAATGATAAAGCATAATGCCCTCTGCTTGACGGAGATAGCAGATTTCTGTGCAGATTAAGATACTATTTTTTGGAGCATTGTTTGATGTGTTTTATTTGACTATGGTTATTTTTGTGTGTGTGTGTGTGTGTGTGTGTGTGTGTGTGTGTGTTTTAATGGAGAGTGGGATTTGAGAGGAAGAGGGAACCTAATTATAGTAATGCCAAAAATAAAAAAGAGAAGAAAAAGGGATCATTGTAGCATTTTAAGAAAAAATGCATTGAAGATAACAGCAAATAAGTAAAAAAAATAATAAATCTAGCAAGATAGCTTTGAAACTAAATTGAATTGGTTATATTCTTTTTCAAAATGCAAGCTATTCATGATAGAGGTCCATGTAAAATCCTCATTTTGTTTTCTGTCACCTGGCATTTATTAAGCACCTACTATGTGCCAGGCACTGTGCTGTGCTGAGAATACAAAGAGGCAAAAAATAGTTCCTGCTCTCAAGGAGCTCAACAATCTAAATGGGGAGACAGCATGAAAACAATTGTGTACAAGCAAGATATAGTGAGGACAAATTGAAGGAGAAGAAAGGAACAGAATTTTCTGGTTTGCTTACACCACTTGGTGAAACTTTTAGTTGCCAGTGAAGTTGCCATCTTTATTCTTGTGTCACCTGTCTTTGATGATCAAATAACCAGCTAGAATTGTTGCAAGCTCATCATGTTCCTTTACTCTGAGAATCTCTCTTTGAAATATATAGATTTCTTCAAAGCTTCCTCTGTTAACTGAGAAAGACCAGCGTGAAACTCCCTCCAGTCCTTATACATTGTTCTCTCATTGCACTGTGCTCTTGTCCTACTACATACAACTGTGCTGAATGAATATTCAATTATTGGATCACGATCTGTGACAAAATAGGACTGAACACACTAGATATTAACTTTGCTGGTGCTGCTTCCTCTGATGTCCACAAACCTATGCTTCTCTTTCCTGGGGCCATCCCACCAATCTACCATGGCCAAAGGAGCTGTCCCATACCAGTCCTTGATTAGGTTGTACTCTCTCACTCAAGGGTCCAGGTCCCAGTGGGCTGGTTGGACATAGGGATCTTGGGCAGGTGGTGAGGACCCTCGTGTTGGTTGGTATTTATCGTGTTTAGAATAACAAATAAAATTTTAAATTTAAATTAAAAATTAAAATTAAAAAGAAAGTATCTAAATCTTATTTTTGGTTTGAGATTTTTTCCCAAGCAATTGATGTTCTTCTCTATTGCAGATATCCCTAGAGAGTATCACTTTCTGCTTTCTAGATGCCTGTATGTTGTCTCCAGCATGCATCTCTTCCATATATTGTTCTAACTGTTCTTCTCTGGACTCTGTCCTGCTGCTCTTCCCATCTTTTCTTTCCCTTCCATTTCAATGCCTTTTTTTTTTTTTTAAAACTTCCTTATATAGGGACTGTAATATTAAGTGTATGGCTAGGTTGTCCAAATGTCATTGATATAGAAATTATTAGGATAATCTTAGTAAATCTTTTACACTTTTCATCTGTGCGTGATCTTCTTTCCAGTTTCATCCTTAAATATTCTTGGGATGATTTGGCTTAGTAAATTTATCTCTGAGCTTTCTGTAAACTTAATTTTTTCCTTAATTGCTCTTCATTCTTTTATGATGCAATGCTATTCATAATCATATACTACTCCCTTCTATACGACTTGACTTTACATTCTAAACTGATGCTGCTTTTGGCTACCATCCTCGTTTACCTGGCAAGTGGAACAAATATTTCCTGACTGAGGCAGCTTTTTTTGTTGTTGTTTTGTTTTGGTCTTCTGGTTGGGATGTTTGATTTATATGAGTTAAATTTTGTTAGGAAGTTGTAATTTTCTGTGTTTCTGTCTCTTCTTTTATTAAGTATCCATTTATTTGTTTTAGCTTGTTGGAGCAATTTTAATTACATATTAAATTTTTTAACTTGGTATTGATTTCAGTGTTTGTTCTAATAAGCAAATAGTATAACTCTACAAAGATAGCTTACTCAAAAGTGACTCCCACCTCCGTAACTATTAATTTCTTCTTAGAATATAATCACTTTTGCTTTTGTGATATTATTTGGTATTAGCCATTATCTAGAGTATTCTGACTTTCTTTTTGAAGAAAGTATTGAGGATAAATAACAGTGAGTCTATAACTTATTGGGCCCCTTTTATTTCTTATTCTGAAACCATATTTTCCAATATATTTTTCACTTTCTTCCCCATGCCCAGCTTTGTATTGATGTTACTGGGTAAAGTACATATTCATTTAATTTGTAGAACTTTTTAAACTTCCTTATAGAATTTCTTTACCTCCTCATCCTCTGTAATATTGGTGCATAGGCTGCAGTTCTTCATAGTTATTTTTCTGCAAGTGTTTACCATTGAACCCACCAATATAAGATGACTGGGTGATATGTCTTATGTTAGGATTCACAATAAAATCAATTCCACAAGAATCTATGAGAACTTCCTTCCACTTAACTGTAAAGTCCTTTTGTATTTTGGTTTTATTCATAGCAAGGATGTTAGCATTGTAAAGATTCACTTTCATCAGTAATAACTACTTCTTGGTAATTGGACAAGGATCTGACATTTACAGTACCAGTGGTTAAAGTTAATGCTCATAAATGGTCTAAAAACCTTGTTTTTTGGCCCTTCCATTCCCTTTTCTAACCATAACTGTAAAGGTGGAAAGTGGCTACATACAGAATTGGTTGTGTGTGTGTGTGTGTGTGTGTGTGTGTGTGTGTGTGTGTTTTCTTTTTTACCTTGAGTTGTTAGGATCAGTGAATTCATCACTAAGTAATTAGCCTACTGTGCTTCTCCATAATCTAGCCTGGTCCTTGGAAAGCAGACATAGTCTATTAACAGGACTTTATTTAAAGTCTTACCAGCCTGGTAAAGTCTTACCAGCCTGGTAAAATCTGTCAGAGCTTGTATTCCATTGACCAACCTTCAAATATTCAGTACTGCCCCCATGTCAAGATGAGACCATATAGCTTGTCAAACACTTTCTGAATTGTTATGTATTATTTGCATAGCTGGTGGGGAGGGAAGCTGCAATAACCATATTTTTGACTGTTAGCCTTTTAAGTCTTTTCATTCCCATCAACCTCTAATACCCCAACTAGCTCCCTAATAAAACTCATCTAAGATAATCATTTTTCTACCTCCTTTCCAGCAGCCATCTCACCTTCTTAGGCTAGAGAGGCCTTCTGCCCTCTTGTCTAATTGGGGAGTTCCCATGTGGGCTCTCATTTTACGAGGTACTTGAGCCATGCTCCCTTCATCCCTAGCTCCCCTCTTCACTCTCTAGACTTTTCCACCTGTTCCCCAGACGCTTTGCTCCAGCTTGGGTCTCCCTATCCATCACCCCTTCCCTATCTAGCTCTCTTTTATGTATACTGTCTTTACCTGTTAGAATGTAAGCTCCCTGAGGGTACAGACTGTCTTTGGCTTCTGTTTATTTCTCCTGCATAGTACCCAGCACATAACAAGTGCAGAATAAATTCTTTAAGTCACTTAACCTTTTTGGGCCTCAGTTTCTCATTTTGAAAATGATCTCTGAGAGCCTTTCTGATTATAAATTCTCTGATCTTATTACTATATGTGAAATGATCCAGGTAGTAAGAGGAAAGGGTTGACATTTTTAAAAAAATGATATATCTCTCTTTAGTTCATAATGTCAGTTCAAAATATTTATTTTAATTACTGACTTTTTATAGAGACCAGCGCCAACCTCTGTTATTCCAGATACTACAGACAATGTTTTCATTATAAAAAAAAATTGAAATTTGTTAACATTTTATTTCCTATGTTAAAATATACCCCTTGGCCTATTTCAAAGTTTAATCAAGGGTAAAAATAGACTGAATTTTTAAAAAAAAGAGCAGTTAAGAGATTATTTGGAATTTTCTGTATAATTGTTATAAAATGTTAAAGAAGGAAACAGAGTAGTTAAAAAGTCCTTGGGTAATGGTAATAGATAATTTAAGGATAATGGATTTTTTTTTTTTAGGGTGACTGTTGGATCTGTATGGAACTCATGTCTACCTCGTTTGACAAGTTTTACAAATATGTATATAGTGTATTAGATGATGTTATTCCAGAAGAAATTTTAGGCAAAATCACTTTAGCAGTAAGTATCTGTTTTTTATTGTTTATTTTCCAATCATTATTTCAAATGTTAACTCTCTCTTAACATCTTTAAAAATTTACTAAAGAACAGTTGTATCACATTCACATATCTTCTTGCAGAAAGTATTTAGAGAGTAATTTGTGATTTACAGACATGTTTTGCCTAACATTATTACTTGGGTTTATAAAAACATAATACTAGTGAGAATACTATTTTCATAGAAGCAATTTTACAACTGGGCTGTCAGCTGAATGATTTTGTAGCAGTGTTTCTAGCTTCATGTAAGGCCTTAGTTAAAATATATAAATGATACTATTTTTGAACTAGTTTAGTTGGGGCAAACTGATTTGAGATATTCCTTTAAAAGGAGAACAGTTTAGAGATCTTGTATAAAAAAATTAATATCTGTTAAGCACTTTGCCTTAACACTTAATGAACCAGAAGTAGATCTTGTTATGACTTGAAAAAGAATTAATTTTAATTGATTTTTTCCCTTGCCATTTTTGCTTTTACTTCATCCTAAAATTTCATGAAATTTTATAGTTATCTTCCCTCAAGTAATCAGCATGGTTGTGATTGTGTTTTGTACTTTGTATGTTATTATCAAATGTAATTCAGGAGTTCTCGTTCCTTCCTTATCCAACTTAATTTTCTAGTGATTAATAGTAATCTAAACAGTGATCTATTATGTCTAACCACCAGATGTGACAAGAGCAACAAAAGAATAAAAATGCATGGGTTTATACAACTTCAGAGGCCCACCAACAGCACAAAGAGTTCACGAAATATGGGAAAAAATCTTGAATAAGGGGTTGGTCTCCAATATATATAGATAGCTAACAGAAATATGTAAGACCAAGAGCCATTGAATAAATGATCCAAGAATACAGTTTTCAAAAGAAGAATTGTAAACTGTTAGCAACCACATGAAAGAATACTTCAAGCACTAGTTAGAAAAATAAGAATCAAAACAACCCCGAAGCTTTACCTCATTAACCAGCAAATTGGTAAAATGGCAGAAGATGAGAACAGTCAGTGTTCAGTGGGTTGTGGAAATACATTAGGCATGCAAATACAACCATTCTGGAAAACAATTTTTAGTATTACATAAATAAAATTAATGTAATGTCCATATCTTTGACACAGAGATTCCACTGTTTAGGCAGTATTCCAAAGAGGTCCTCCATATTCGTGAAAATGTTTTTAATGGCATCTTTTATAGAAGCAAAGAACTGAAAAAAAATTGGATGCCCTTCAATTGAGAAATAGCCAAATAAATTTTGGTACATGAATGTATGTAATATTACTGTGCTTGTAAGAAATTGAGAATATTGTAAATACAGAGAAACATAGAAAATCATACACGAACTGAAGTAAACAGAGCCAGGAAATCCATGTAGACAATGATTTTAACAATATAAATCAAAATAAAAACCAGTTAATAATACGTATCTTTAAAACAGTTAATAATACGTATTTTTAAAATTGCAAAACTTAAGTTTCACCCCAAAAGAATATTAGCATATAAGCAAACACCACTTTTTTTTTCTTTTTTCTTTTCTTTTTTTTTTTTTTTAGGCAATTGGGGTTAAGTGACTTGCCCAAGGTCACACAGCTAGTAAGTGTGAAGTGTTTGGTCTGAGGCTGGATTTGAACTCAGGTCTTCCTGACTTGAGGGCCGGTGCTCTATCCATTATGCCACCTAGCTGCAAACACCACTTTTGCAGAGGTGGGGCAGGGGTGAGGGTGGAGGTCCATGGGTGAGGAACATGGCATAAATTGCCCTTTTTTCTATGTATTGATCAGTTTTGATAATTTTATCTTTTCCTCTTTTTCTTTTTACTTTAAAAAAATTGTTATGATGGCTTTCTAGGTGAGTTGAAGGGAGGGAGACAGGATATTTTTTTAAAAAAGAATTCATTATGTGGGGAATTGTGTCTTTTTAAATTACTAGTAGAAACCGATCTGGTGAGATGGATGAGGGGATAATCCTCTTATCTGTCATATGTTAGGCATTTTTATTCTTAAAGAAGCTCATGAGTACAACTTTCATTGATTTGTTTATTAAACATCAGTTATTTTCTGTAATTGTCAAACAGCAAGAAATATAAGAAACTAGGTTTTGCAATTAGTTATCATGTCTAACTAAAATTATAATAAGTTACAAATACTTTGATTAGGAACTTTTAAAAACTTAGAATACTTAAGTGTAACTTGTTCTTCTAATTGATATATATTTCGTTTCTCTTTCTGCTTTTTTTTTTTTCTAGACTGTGAAAGCACTAAACCACTTAAAAGAAAACTTGAAAATTATTCACAGAGGTAGGTAGGCATGGACATTCTCTCTTTGTGGAAAAGAAATTAACTTTTTTTCCTTAATTTGAAATATCATTGAAAATTATGCCACACATACCATGGTATAATTTTTCTTTGAAAGCTATTTTGCATTGTTGACAGCAGACACAGTCTCCTCTCTTTTTTAAAAAAAAATTCCTTTTTATCTCACATAGCTCAGTCTCACTAATATGAAGTTTGCAAACAAATTCAAAGCTGCTTACCATTTGTTTTTAAGGTGCCCTTTTCATTCTTTGTGGAACAGTTTTTCTTGATATGCGACTATATAGCAGTATAAATGACTAAAGCTAGGTCAGAAAACTAATATTGCTGAATGAAGAATTCCACAAACTGTCAGAGTTGGAATAGTATTTCTTCACCAGTACACCAGCCTGGGCGAAATTGCTCCTCATAATTAGGAGGCACTGCTCTCTGCATGTGAAATACCTAACTTGGTCTTCTTCCTCTTGTTATTTCCTTTGTAAGATCTGCCCAGTAGCTGTTTCAGGCCACCTTTCTCCTCAAGTCACCAACTTCTCATCTTCTTTACTGAGAAGATAAAATATATGCAACATGAGCTCTTGTATTTATTCTCATTTCCATTTCAATAAATCTTTCATTTTTAGAATGATGAACATAGGAATGGGTTTGAAACCTACCTCAGGCATGTTCTAGCTGTGTGATCATGGACAAATACTCGTGTGTAAAATGGGAATAATAATATTTGTGCTATCTTCCTCACAGGGTTGTTTGAAAGAAAGTTCTTTGTAAACCCTAAAAATCAGCCAACATATATAGAATTCTTTTATAAATCTTAAAGTGTTATATAAATCCTAGCTATTATTATTATAAAAACACAAGTCGTTATTATTCCTTTCAGTCTCAGGAAATAATGTTCTACTCCCTCCTGTAAATCCAGCCCTTTCTCTTTGGCTTTATTTCTGAATCCACGGGGACAATGTTGCCACTTTTAGTTCCTAGTTCTCCAGGATCTTTAGTTTCTCCATCTTCCTCTGACTTTAGAAACATATACATGTGGGTAATATAAATTACCATTTATACACCCATGTATGCACACATATATGTAGATATATTTTTATGTCTATATATATTTGTCACTACTTTTTTAAAAACACCTTCACTTTACCCTACAGCCTCTTGAGCTATATTCTCTCTCTCTCTCTCTCTCTCTTTTTCTATATTGCTGAACTAACTGAATGCATAATCTATTCTTGCTGCTTCCATTCCACTTCACCTACTCTTTCATCTCTTTAAAATCTGGCTTCTGTACTTACATTCTGTTTGGATTGTACTCTTAAAGGTTGCTGTTGACCTTAATCACTCATTCACTGTATAGCTATTGAGCACCCGCCATGTGTATTATAGCACTGTGCTACCTTCATTGGATACAAAATAGTAGGAAAGGTCAGGGCATACAGAGGTTCACGTGAGTAGGCCAGACAAAATGGAGTAGCATGTTCATGTGAAAAATTGGAGGGAATAAGGTCAAAAAGGTATACTGGGCCTAGATTATGAAGGACTCTGTATTTCAAACTAAGGAGTTTGGATTTTATTCCGTGGTCTGGAAGTTGCTTAATTAAGGTTTTACAAGATTGGAGCAGAAAAATGAAACAAACATTGTAGGAATATTAATCTCATTATTGATGAAGGAAAGCAGGAAGATCAAGCCTGGGCCTGCAGGGTTACTGCCTTGAGTGAATTTATAGTATTAGTGGGAGACAAGACCCAAAGAGACAGACAGACAGACACACACGCACACACGCGCGCGCGTGCACACACACACACACACACACACACACACACACACAGAGTTATAGAACAGATATTCTAGGCACTGGGCCAGTTGAACAAAAGCAGAGAAGTAGGAGACAGGGAACACAGGGAAAAGTGAGTAGACAAAGTTAGCGTAAGTAAAAGGCTTAAGTAGGGAAGTAGCAGACAGTGAATTCATAAAAGTAGTTTGGGGGCAGATTCTGCAAATCCTTGTTATATTAATTTCTTTATCCTGTAGGTAATGTGGAGCCATTGAAGGTTCTTAAGGAAGAGACCAGCATGAGGAAATCACCCAGAGACTAGTTAGTGGGCTACAGTACCTGCTTATTCATAGCACATAATTTAGTACATTTTGTATTGTTCACTGTTCTTTCATTTTTACTAGTCTTATCTCTATGTAGTCAGGGATATATATTGCTTATATTTGCCATAATATCCGGCAGAGCCTTCTCAGTTTAGCAGAATAAACATTTACTGATTGGTATTTGGTTGCTTTGGGGAGGGGGTGGGATGGTTAGTGATGGGAAAATTCAGTTAGAATATGAATGTTAGTATCTTGATTCTTTGGGGGTGAATCACATAAAACTAATGATCTGATATTTTGTTTGTTTTTTTATCACAGTGGTCAAAACTAATTTCCATGTTTATACTTGCTGGTTCTTTATATATCATTGATCTCTTTACTTAGTATTGTGGTTATCCTTACACAAATTGCCGTGAAGGACTGTGTCCTGTTTTATAGAACTTAAATTTTAAAAATGCTTTTTAGCAACATTAATCACAAAAACAAATTTATATGACATTTAAGGTTTGTGGCAACATGGCATAGTGAATGTCTCCAGATGGTCTTAAATCTAGGACGACCACTTTTGACACGAACTGGTTATGTGATTCTGGAAAACCTTCAGTGGTTATCTTTTGCTTATAGGATAAAATATAAACTGTTTAGTCTGGCACATAAGACCTCTATAGTCTGGCCCCTACTTACTTTCTAGCTTTTATTTACATTGTTCCCCTTTATATACTATTCCATCCAAATACCAAACTTAACATGATGCTTCCAACTTCCATGCATTCATACTGGCTGCCCTTTATGATTATAGTGCACTCTTTCATTTCCACTGTTTAGAATCCTTATCTTTCAAGGCATAGCTTAGGTGTCTCCTTCCCAAGGGAAAGTGTTCTCTTTTTCGAATTTTCCTTGAGAATTTGTCAGGATATCTCCTTTGTCCTCAACCTACCTTAACCTTGTATCATATCATGTTATATTTATCTAGGTGCATGTCGTATCCTCCCTAGTCCTCAGTAGGCTATAAGCTCCTTGAGGGCAAGCATTGGATCGTTGTTGCTTTTGTTTCCATGATCCCATGCATATAGCAGGTGTTTAATTTAATTAGCTGAATTTGAATGTATGGTCCTCTTGTTTGAATCTATAGATGCTTTTGAGATGATCTGCCTTAACTGGATCTTATGCCAAGCTGTCTTTGCAAGTTTGTTTTCTTCTCAGCTGCTTTTTTTTCCTCTCTTTTTTGTTGCACTTCTGATTATAGTTTCCATCCTCCTCAGTTATGTTTTACAAATGAGCTTGTATTCTAAACCTTTGCTGTCCTCGCCTGTCATCTTGCACCTTGGCAGTGAGATTGTATTTGCTGGCTGAGACAATTGCTAAGCTTTTTTGTCCTCTTAATGTTTGTAACAGTTTTGCGTTGGTTAAATGTCCTAATCATTGTCCTACTGTCCTACTTTTAATAGTCATCAGCTTATTTAAAAATAGTCTGGTTGGAGCAGCTATAATCACACACGGTGTCTTTTCATCTTAATCTTTTCTTCCACTTTCATATTTATTTTGACCTTTGCTCTAAACAGTTGATGATCTGACTGCACAGAGACAGCTGATTCTGAGATGACTGCTACCTCTGTAACCAGTCATTTCTTGTCTATTAAGGTATAGTCAACTTTGGTTTTTTGTTTGTTTGTTTGTATTCTATGTTATGTGGTATTCACCATGGCAGCACCTTCTGATTCAACTTGAAGAAAAGTATTCATCAAGTACAAGTGTTAGTCTTCTGAATAATACACAGGCCTTTTATCTCTTTCATTTCTTAATCCTGAACCCTGTTTTCCAATCATGTTCACAATCTTCCCATGAATCCAATCTTCACATTGAGCTGACTTAATATCAAGTTATATGTTGACCTAATATGGAAAATCCTATCATAGTATACATAGACTTTCTAGTTATCCATATACTGAAAGAGTTGTTGGCTCATAAACTTCAATTATTTTTGTTTGCTTTTACTCTTTGGGAGTACTGACAGACAAGATGACCTTATTGCCTTTGAACACAATTTGAAACCAATTTCACTAGCTCTCTGCATTATCATGCTGAGTGATCTTGGACAGGTTACTTAACCTTTCCAGGCTTGTTTTCTAATCTGTAAAATGATGTGTGCAAATTAGGTAGACTTTTTTTTACAAGGCATAGAGTAAGAAAGACCGATTGTTAATATTCCATTTTCTGCTACTCCACTGCTGGAAAAAGGGGTCTTTTTGGGTTTTTATGCATTTTTTGATTCATCCTGACCAAAGTATTTCATCACCTGATTGCCACACTTGTAGTGGATGAGTTACTTTGAACTCATCTAACCTGGTCCTCAGATAGTAGATCTGTCTTGAAATTTTTCCAGTGTAGTCTTTGAGAACCAAGGGTCACTTTAATACCAGAGGAAGACTACTCTTAAATATCTTTGGAATTTGAGTAGTGTTGAGTAAGTCTTCTGGCTCCATGACCAGTCATCTTTGGCACAACCCTTCATCTCTCATCACAGGATACAAGAGACTGACAATAAATCTCTTGTTGTGTATGCCCTTTAGCACGGAGCTAGAGCCCCTCTGTCACCAGAAGTGAACTAAACATGGAATCCCCTGGCCATTATGTAGGCTCAGCTCCATGGGAAGTTCCCCATATTAGCAGATTAGGGGACTCCCCCAGTTGTTCCTGTTATGTAGGCATAGGGACTGAGCACTAGGGATCTTCATTCATTCATTCATTTATGATTTCAATGGCATAGGAAACTCTCAGGTGAAGAGTATCCCTCCAATACAGGTCATCAACTTCTTTGCAATTTTTATCTTTAGAGAGTTGCTTAAGGTACCTATAGGTTAAGCGACTTGCCTAGTGTCACACAGCTAGTATACATCAGAGGTAGGTCTTGAACCCAAGTCTTCTTGTCTTTCATGTCATTTCTCTATCCCCTATACCATGCTGTCTCCATTATACATGGACCACAAATTCATTCAGGATTTCTGGTTTCAGAAGTGAAGTCTTGTAACAAGAAAAGAAACAATCACAACATTGAGGATAACTGAGTTTCTTATTCTAAGTGACTCAATAAATATTCATGAGAATGGGTTTTACTAACCAAGTTTTTAAATATAAATAATAATAAAATAAATAATAAAAGGTTAAAAAGCAATTACCTAGAGTTTCTTCCTTCTCTCTCTCTCTTTCTCTCTGTCTGTCTCTCTTTCTGTCTCTGTCTCTCCTTCTTATTGGATTAAGGAAAAGAAGGATTGTAATTTTCCTGATGGAACATTAGTTCTTTTTAGTAATGGCTGTTTGGCTAAGGACACAGCCCCACAGTACAAGTTGGAGACTGAAGGAGAAAAAAGGCATTCTTATCTTGTCAGTGACACAAAAGTCTTCCCTAAGATTCTAGTGCTTACATCCCTATGTAGGACTCTTTTGAAGGAATAGCTCACACAGTCAGAGAAACCACTAAAGATAACTTTGAGAAAACTAAAATATGGAAATGACCAGATTCAATATCTCACAAAAGTAATCTGTGCCAGGGTAGCTATCTGAAGAAAAAAGAAAATAATTTTCAAGATCTCCATTTTTCTAAATGCCAGCCCAGAGCTATCAACTTGAGGGCCAATTAAGCCATCTGGCATGAAACAATGGTGGAAAAGCACAAAGATAGTTTACTCAATTGGCCTTGGCTAAAAGTTCAGACTTCATTTATTTTTTGTGCCTGCTATTTGAAGGAGGTTCAGGCAGTACTCTACCAAGAAAGCTGGAAAAGGAGAGTAATATACAGATTATCCAAAAAGTCTTTTGTGAGCAAGAATTTTGGAATACCCCATTTAATGAAGCTAGAAAAATGGTTTAGGGCCAAATTGTGAGGGGCTTTGAAAGCTAAACAGAGGAATCATATAGTCTGATCTAGAGGGAATAGGAAGCCATTGAGTAGGGGAGTGACAAGGTAATATCTGTGATTAAGGAAAATCACTTTGGCAACTATGTGGAGGATGAATTTGAGTGGAGAGGGACTTGCTGCATGGAGACTACTTAGAAGGTTAATACAGTAGCCCTTGTGTGAAGTGATGAGGCCCTAAGGTGATGGCTGTATGAATGAAGATAAGGAATTGAATAAAAGATATATTGCAGGGGTAGAAAAGGCAAGTTTTTGCAGCTGGTTAGAGATGAGATGAAGGAGAGTGAGGAGTTGGGTATTATCAGGATTATAGACCTGAAATGTTGGAAAGTGGTGGTACTTTAGATAGAAATAGGCAAGATTGGATCTAAGCAAGGTAGATTTTTTTGGGAAAATAATGATAGTTGGTCATATTGAATTTGAGATGTCTGAGGGATATCCAGTTTGAAATGTCCGATAGGCAGTTAGTGATATGGAATTGAAGCTTAGAGGACAGACTGAGTCTGGATTTAATATAATTGTAAATTAATAGAAATGATGATTAAAACCCATGAAAGTTGATGATAGTATCAGTAGTAAAGAGAAGAGGGCCTAGGTCACAGCCTTGGGCAATATCCGAAGTTAGAGGATGTGATCTCAAGATTGTGAATGGCCAGGCATAATGAGAACCACTAGAAACTAGTGCCATGAAATTCCAGAGTAGAGGGTATTCAGGCAGAGGACGTAGTCATTGGTGTCAAATATAGAAAGAAGGCTGAGGGCTGAGAAAGGACCATCAGATTTGTCAGTTAAGAGAGATCTTTTAACTTTAGAGAGAATTTCAATTGAGTGGTCGGGTCCCACATGTGACACATACTGGCTGTGTAACCCCTAAAGGAAAAGCACGGCCTTTAGCTTCTAGGTTTCCTAGGTAACTCTCTTAAGATTTAAGTTGCTGAGAAAGTACTGACCTGCCTTTGATAGAGGAAGTTCCTTACCAGGATCTCCCACACAGATGAAATTACAGAAAAGTTTGTGTGGGGTGGGGTGGTGGGTGGTGGGGGTGGAGGATGACTAGACATGTGATTTCATTGGAATAAGTAGCTCCCAAATATGAAAACTCCTCTCAATTCAGGTTATTACTGCCTCCTCAACTACTGAGAGTTACCTTGGGCACTATGAGGTTAAGTCACAAACCAGTAACTGTTAGAGGCAGGACTTGAATGCATATCTATTTTTCTGACTCAAGGCTCGCTTATCTGATGCACCACACTTCTTTTCCACTTTGTGTGTGTGTATTTATATGGTTATATAAAAATGTATTCTTATAGTTCTTACAAAATCCTGTACCAAATTCATCCCCTTATCTCTGTAAAAAGGCATAAACGTTGCCTGAATATTTTCTGTAACATGCTTTTATTGTTATTTATGGTTTATAAGAAACAACATTTAGAAAAATCATGTTTTCCTAATTTTAATGGAAATTAGATCTTTACTTCATACTCCAAAATCTGAGAGTGTGACACTATATTGAGAAGAAAATCACCTTTCATCCACATCTGTAGACTTTTCACCTTGTAACTTTCAAAGTCAGTTTTTGCCATGTTCTTCTGTTTTTGTAATTAAAGGCGTAAATGTTAGGGCAAGTATTATGTTATTTTTTTTTCTTTGAGATCAGTAGATCAAGCATTACACTTAATGTTATTCACTCAATCTTAGTGCCAGAAAGAACCTTAGATATTTTTTGGTGTCTCCTCTCCCATTTTACAAGTGAGGAAATGAGTTATGGAGCTGTGAAATGACTTGCCTAAGGTCACATAGCTAGTAATCATTGGAGTTAGTAAATATTAATTTAATGTAGTAAATTTCATGTATCTTTTACAGACATCAAACCTTCCAATATTCTTCTGGATAGAAGTGGAAATATTAAACTCTGTGATTTTGGCATTAGTGGACAACTTGTGGACTCCATTGCCAAAACAAGAGATGCTGGGTGCAGGCCATACATGGCAGTAAGTTTAATGTCTTAATTGGTGTGTATGTTATTTATCATGTTCGTGAACAGATAACTTTCGCTACATTGCCTTCTGTAGAACTGTTCTCTATTCACACTCTACTACCTCTATTCACATTCTAGCTACGTAGAATGCTCTGCCCCATTTATCTTCACTTAGCTAAATTTTATTAACCCAACTAAAATCCTCCATTTGTCAAAGTGATCTTTCCTCATTTGAACACCTATAACACTTACTGTCTTTGCCAGTTATTTAGCACTTATGCATAATCTTGTGAATGTTCATCAGCTTTTTCTGTGCCTATTCTGTCTCTCCAATTTAATTTATTCTTTGGAAACAGGGACTGTGTTTTATAAGGCTTTGTGATCATGCAATGCTTGCCAAGCTCAGTGCTTTGCATACAGGTGTTTGGCAAATGTGTTGTTGATTCTGCTGATGTTCATGTTTTTCAGGCCGATATTGAAAGCATTTCCGTTTTGAGCAGACTTGGTGGCCTTGAATTTTTAACTATACAAATATTACATACACTATTAATAATACAAAGATTACAGAGAAGGAACATAGTAACTATATCTCCTTTGCCTTTCTCTTGTGACTTTGTTTTAGGGGTTTAAAGAGTTGTTTATGGCACAGACAAGTTGAGACAAATTGAAACTTTGGGTAATCACAAAATAATATTGCTGTAGACTTTTTCTAAAGTTTTATTTCAGAATTTTTCATCATCAGTATTCATTACTGACATTGCTTTATCCCTTTCAGATTTTAGGTGTTACTACCATATTTGACTCTTCTATAAAAGTAATTTGGTAGAATGTGTTACTGGTCAGTTTTCAAAAATAATTTGTGTAGCATAGATATTAATTACTTGTTAAATTTTTGATAGAATTTGCTCATAATTACATGTAGATTAAGGTATTTGGTAGTTCCTTTATAACTTGAAAATCTAAGCCTTGTTGTTTCGTAAAATTTTCTTACTTTGCTTTTTTAATTCCTACCTATTCCTTATAAGGGTTAGAAAGAAGTGTTTTTCAGGTTATATTCCTTGAAAAATATTGATTGGTGTAAATCTAAAGGCCCGCAACTTTGTTCAACGACCCCACATCTCATTATATATCATTTACTTGGATAAAGAGATATGATAGGTATCTAATTTATGCATGATATAAATAATATTGAAAAATTTTATCATTGTTTATCATTTTTAATCAGTGACAGGTAAAAATATAAATATCTTCAGTTTTCAAATGATATGAAGCTAGCATGAATAGCTATTGGAGGACTGGGCCTATCTAAGGAGAGAAAATTTAATAGGCATAAGTGTAATTTACCTTTATGGGGTTTTTTTAAGTCAATTTTACATATACAGATGTGCTTATTTAACATTTCTTCTGTAAAAGATTATGAGCTTTCTAGGGGACCACAAGCTCACTATTAGGTTTCAGTGTGATATGATTGCCAAAGAAGCTAATGCCATCCTCAGCCTCATTAAGAGGTAGAATGCAGTGGACTGTGTCCTGTCACCAGTTGCATTTCTGTAATAATGATAAGCCTGAGAGTGTCCTAAAGAGAGTGACCCCCTTGGGGAAGAGCTTTGAGATTGCCAAGTGAGGAAGAAAAGACATAGCCAAGACATAGCTGTATTCACAAATTTCAAAAGTTATCATGTGTAAGAGAGATTGAACATTTTCTACTTGTCTCTAGAGGGTAGAACTAAGAGCATTGAGTAAAATTTACATAGAAGTAGATATAGGCTTCATGCAAGGTAAAATTTCCTGACACTTAAAGACATCTAAAAATAAAATGGGTATCCTTGAAAGGGACCTCTCTGCACCCCTCCCCCCGCTCCCATTTACAGATGAGAAAATTGAGACGGAGAGGTTGAGTGACATTTGCCCCAAGTCTTCTGACTCCTGTTTCTGCTGTATCATGTTGCCTATAATAGTAGCTTCTTCCAACTAGAGGCCTTAATGCAAAGGCCACTTTAAATGACCGCTTGTCAGGTATTTAGAGGGAATTCATAGCCAGGTAGCAATGGTGCTTGATAACTTGAGGTCCTATTCAGCTGTGACAATCTATGATTCTGTAGAAATTTTAAAAAAATATGCATAGGCTGGACTGGTTCTTCAAAATTAACCAAATAAGCCTAAATATAAATTTCTAATGTTAGGCCATAGAAGACTAGTGTATATGTATGTATTAGAGGATGGAGGTGGGAGCTTAATATGAATAGGAGTTAATATGAAAAAGATCAGAACCTGCCTTAGCACCATTGATAGGAAGATTCAAGTACTGGGAACAGGTCCCAGTTTAGAGAACTATATTTCGAGAGAAAAATGAACAAACTAGAGTTTACTCAGAGGGGAGTGATAGGTTTGTGAAGGACTTAGACTCTGTGTCATGAAGAATAGAAGAGCATAGTACTTATTTCAAAAGCTGACATATGGAAGGCGTTGACTTATACTGTGTTACTCTGGAGGCAGAGTACCAACTAATTGGTGGAAGTTATAGAAAAACAGGTCTGATTTATACATTGCCAAATTTTCAGATGTTGATCCATTGTTTCCCGAGGCCTCCGTGTAAATTCAGCTTATATTTTACCTTGGTGTGATGCAAGATTGCCATCTAGTGACCCAAAATGAGATCATTAGAGTATAAAAAAAGTTTAGTACATAGGAATAAGGAAGATTGTATAATACTTTTGTGTTTTGGCTAGGTGATTCCTTTCAAACTGTGATGCCATTTCTACTCTTACCATTTGTGAACATTCAAACATTCTGTAGTGATCAAATTGTTTACTGAATTCTTGTATTAAAAAAAAAAATCTATACCTGGTCTTTCCCCATAACCTCCTCTCCCACCCCTCACCTCTAGTTGTCTGAGAAGGGGAAAAAAATCATCATCTGTGTATTGTTGTGTATCTCATTTGAAGCAACCATTTCTGTTTATGGAACATAAAAATTGCCAAGCACTGTACAGCAGAATATTATAGCTCTGACAATGAAATATATTGTAGAAAAATATGATTATTCTCCTCAACCTCAATCCCAGAGGCTTGGAATGTATCCTGATGTTGATTTGTTCTTAAATTCTGCATATCAGTTTTCTCAAAAACCTATTGTGGGTTGAAACTATTTCAACCTGTGATAATGAGTTTCATAACTTTTTAATTACTTGTTGTGTAGAGGGATAAGCATTTATTATTAAATACCTTTTATGTGCCAGGTACCATGCTAACTTTACACTTTACAAATAACTCTTCCCAATAACTCTGCACGGTAGGTGCTTTTCTTTTCTTTTCTTTTTTTTACATTTTACATTTCACAGATGAGGCAACTGAGGCAACAGTGGTAAAGGGACTTGCCCAGTGTTTGAAACTGAATTTGAACGCAGGTCTTTCTGACTCTAGGCCCAGCATTCTATCCATAGCACTACCTACCTGCTACTTGTGTTAAGTACAGTACTTCCTTTTATTTGTAGTAAATTTACCTTTTTCAAGAGTCAGGGAGAATACCCACCATCAAGTTTTCAAATAATGTGCTTTGGTAAACAAGTTCATGTTCATCCTTTCTATGCACTTCATAGACTTAGGATTTAAGACTGGAAGTGATCTTAAAGATTATCTGGTTCAACCCCATCATTTTACAAATGGGGAGATGGGGTCTATGGAAATAAAATGACTTGTCCAAGGTCATGCAGATAGTAAATATGGAAGCTGAGATTTGAGGTCTTGAGGTTATACCTCTGGAAAGAACCTCAGGATCCCCAATTCTAAATAGCCTTCTGATATAACATATAACACTTTAAAAGACTGGTCATATTTGGCTTCTAATTTATATCATTTGTCTGCATTTGGCAGCATTTGAAAATTTTGGGTTTTGTGGTACTGGCTATTTCTGGTCTCATCAATTTGAATGATCCTGTCGATGTCCCCTAAAACTCTATTTTGGGCCCTCCTCTCATTTTTCTATATAATCTGTTCAGTGATTTCATTAGCTCCCATCTATTAAGTTATCACCTCTGCAGATAATTCCCAGATCTCTGTATCCAACCCTAGTCCTTTTTTTTTCCCCCAGCCAAAGACAAGGTTTATTAGAACATCCACCATATTGGCCAAACTCTTGAAGCATCTAAACCGTATTGCAAGCGGGCCAGATTTTAAGAATCTGAGCAGTGGCTAGATTTTAAGAATCTCAGCAACTGGTTAGATTTTAAGAATCTGAGCACCTTAGTGAGGCCAGATGGACCTTATATACAGAAAGACCGTGGAAGGGATCTAGGAATGGCCAAATAGTTTGAGGTGACTGGAGGAGGGGTCTAAAGAGGATCTGGATGAGAGTGGCCAGTAAGCTGAGGTGAAAAGACCTCCAGGTACCTGGACCACCTGGCCTAGGGAGAATGGAGTCTAGATTGGATTAAGGGTGGGAAATGGCCAGGGGCAATTGGGAGGTAACAAGAACTGAACTGGGAGATTGAGTGTAGCCACAATGAAAGGTCAGTTGAGTGAATTACAGCCTCAGGCAAATGCCAGGGATTTGGGAAAGTCAAGGGATTGTTGAGGTCCAGATCCAGAGACATGGTCTTTTCCTTTTAGGGGTTCAGATCCCATCCCCATCATTCCCCACTCAAACAAATGGGATCCAAATTCTTTTGGGTTAAGGGACGAAGGTCTTGGCTTCTGAAACTGCTTCTTGCTGGCAAGGGGTGTAGAGCTGTCCCTGCCTTGAGGGAGTCCCAAAGAGGATGTTGACTGAAACTGAGCACAGGCTGTATCCAGGGGACAATGAGGGGACATTGGCTGGTACCCACTGTTTGTTACCAACTATAGGTGAATGGCCTATAGTCTGGAAGACACAAATGTAACAGAAAAGACTGCATGGCCTAGATATAGGAGGAAGTAAAAGTGTAAGAGTCCCATTAAAATCATTTACATGTGATGTGCAGGATGATCTGATCTCTTACTTTTTCAAAAGTTTAAGTAACACTTTCACAGGTAGAAG